GTGGTAGAACAGGAGATTCTCATCATGGATGTGCAGTTGACAAATCTGCAGCAACTGTGTGATGCTATCATGTCAATATGGACCAAAATCTCTGAGGAATGTTTCCAGCACCTTGTTGAATCTATGCCACGAAGAATTAAGGCAGTTCTGAATGCAAAGGGGATCCAACCCAGTACTATTAAGGTGTACCTTATAAAGTGGCCGGTGAGTGTATATCTGTAAGTAGAATGCACATTCTCAAATAGAGTGGTTAGAAAAATAAACCACTTTAGTAACAGATTCAACAATATGAGTGTGTAAGTAAGTTAATGCAAAAAAATGTGGGTTGTAAAGCATGGGTTAAAAAAAGTTGCATTTACCCTAATTTACCACTAAGCACCACCCCACTGGCATATAAGTGATTCAAATCAAACACACCCGAAGACACCCAAACAACAGGTACATGCATTGTGTAGCTAACATGCTAAATGCTAACGTGGTGGCTCTTCCAGTGATTACTTTTACTACCTGGACCACTTATAATATGCTTTGAGAATATATTAACCACATCTAGAGCAGATTGCGCAGCACTTCGCGGTGGATAAGGCTCACAGGCTGCCCTACTGAGGTGAGTACAAAAACAAACTTACTGTACAGATGAGGCCAATTTTAACAAATACGTGCTGCCCAGAAAGGTAGCGATTTGTGCTACACAGTGTAGATAAACACGCTTCTCTTATAATATGTGTGTTTGTGGGCTGCATCCACTAATTGTCCGTTCCATTTCATCGCGCAGGTGCACCGCTTAACAGATAATGGCGAGGGCCGTAATAACTGTTAAAGCAACCATTAACTGTAAACTGACAAAACAAACATCAATGTCTGCCTACAGGGCAAAAGCATAGGGCAAAAGTCATGGAAGCTTTCTACCATGACTTCCAACAGCCGCTCAAATCTAGAAGCAGCTACAATACATGTCAAACTGTGAGCAGAGCACCTATTCCACGAGCCGCAGGCTAGAATTTTGCTGCGCGAATATTCGACCTGTTACGGTACCGGTACTTGAACCCGGAAATGAGTTAGCATTTGCTCTCCTTGCCCCATCGTCTTAAAGTCAGTGTTATTTTAATGAGTTTTTGGTGTTTGAAATAAGGTCTGAAGTTCGAGAGACTTCTACGACATAAATTACGTCAGTAAATACCCCACTCGTGAACTTTGAAGCTTCTGTGTGTCTTAAAAATGGCGGTTGCTAACAAGTGACTAAATGAGACTACAGAACGCCATCACGCCAAATCGCGCCGAACACGGCTTCACAGTGGTGTTATGGTAATGATGTAAAGCATGTGACTGTAGCGTAGTTCATAGCCTCATGTTAGCTTTTTACCTCTGACAATAGCATTTAGGGTTCAGTAATGAAAATCATGAAAGTGGTGTTCATATGTGAAGATAATCTTGCTGAATAGAAAGTGTGAGTATCATAAACGTTTGTTTGCCACAGAGCTTATTTTTGGCAAAAATTAAAAATCCAATGGAAAAATCCCATAGGCTTTTTGATGAGGGAGCCAGTGCGAAGCTAACTTCTGTGTTGGCCCATGTAGTAAATAAAAACGACATTCTGTTACACATAATATATATTAAATTTATCTTTTTGGCTTTGTGACGTTAACAAATGCTAAATTAGAAAATAAAATCCATATTAGGTTTGCTAAGAAATGCAACAGATTCCTAAAATCTTCCTGAATATGTCAGACCACATACAGAGCGGTGGCTTGCCTTGAGTGTCCTCAGTGAAGCTAGCCGTGGATTCCAAATCCAGAAAGGAAAGGAGAAAAATATTTAATTTAATTTAATAGTGCACAGACAGATTTGTTTACTTTTGCTGCAAGGTCCGAAATATTCTTAAATTCCTTACAGCAGAGTAGCCACCTAATGGTAAAACATATTTGATTAGACCTATTAGTAATGTTGATAAGCTTATTTAGACTTAATAAGACTGCATTAACTTTATTATAAGGCTCAAATAAATTTTGTGGCTCCAGACAGATTTAATAATGTTTTTCGACCAAAAATAGCTCCTCTGGTAGTAGAGGTTGCTGACCCCTGGCCTAACATCATCATCATCATCATCATCATCATCATCATCATCACCATCATCATTTACTTAGAGCATTCAAACTGACCTGCTTTTTACTTTTCTCTGAGTACATTTTACTCAAGTAAACTTACTTTTGCTTGAGTAAGATTTCTTCTAGGAAACAGTACTTAAACTTGAGTATGACAGTAATACTCTAAGCACTATCAATTTCTTCATCTTCAATGACCACCTTGACATGGCTTTTGGGTATGACTTCAGTTTTCTAAATGTCTGATATAAATAGCACCAGGGACATAACCATGCTCCAGATTTAGGTGTATACCCAAATAACAGCTATGTGCTGCTATGGTTACCAAAATGTTAAGTGTGAGGTGTTATATGAGGATATGAGGTTGTGGAGCACATGCAGTATGTCATGTGTGGATTCAGATCATGCTTTTAAAGAACTACAGACTCATCAGTCATGGAAAATGAGTGTCTTATTAAGCACATAAATTCACACGCAGAAGGTAGAGGAGAGCGTGTAGGGAGGAGGTACTGTAATGATATTAGGATGTGTGCTACAACTTGTTGATTAATAGAGAGTAAGATGAATGTTGAAAGCTTACAGTAACAACCCCAAGGCCACAGTACAGTATTCCACTTATGCATTTATAAGTATTCATGAGGCCCGGCGGAGGTGCTGTTAACTCTGTGTGTCCCAGTGTTGGTAGTGTTTGGTAGAAACAGAGAGGACTTGGTTTACGGGAGGCAGACAGTTGTGTTTGAAATGTAGTCGTTTAGGCATCAATTATGTTATTATTCCAGCTGGCATTGGGTGAGAGGCGGGGTACACCCTGAACAGGTCACCAGACAATCACAGGGCTGACACACAGAGACAGACAACTATTCATGCTCACATTCACACCTATGGCCAATTTAGAGTCACCAGTTAACCTGATATGCATGTCTTTGGGTTGTGGGAGGAAGCTGGAGTACCCAGAGAAAACCCAGACTGACACGAAACATGCAACCCCTGCACAAAGGGGCTCCCCCACACCGGGATTGAACCCGAACATAGCAAAATAAAAAGAAAATACAGGCAGAGGGCCGAGGCTCTGCAAAATAGCCTACTACTTCTACTACTACTACTACTAATAATAATAATAGTAATAATAAACTTTATTTATATAGCACCTTTCAGAACCTAAAATGCAGTATTTAAGTATTTAAAAACCAGAAACTTAAGGAGTGAATACAGTAAAATGACAAAATCCTAAAGAGATTTAAAACAATAAAAAAGGACAGTACTAGTAATAAAAACAAGTTGATAATGGTAAAAACAATAGCTGCTTTCACACTGTTCAAGGTGGGAATATATGCCACCTCACCGTTCTGTATGGAAGTTACAATTGTTGAATAGGAGGACATAGTGGTCTCGCTTTTAAGCCGGCACAGAGGTGCCAGGAGGTAGTATCAGTGCTGAAACTGTGTTTGTATAAACAGGACACTTGGCAGGAGGGGACTGTGGGCAGGACAAAGCGTGGCATTTTGACGACGTGTTATGTGTGTGTGACCCCCTATGGGAAATTTAAAAGCATCTAATAGCAGTTAGCGGCTAACTCGAACAAGAGCAGTGGCCAAAAATGCAAAACAGTAAGATTCAGGAGCTCCTTATCATTATAGCAGAGGACGAGATCAGCCGCCATATAACAGAGGCAGTAAATGATTGTTATGCCTTTGTTGTTGTTGTTTAGAAATGCTGTTGATGGGTATGTTTTATGTCACACTAGAGGCTGATGCTGTTGTGTTAAATGTCACACCTCTTTTGATTACATGAAACCAACATGCAGTCTATAATCACACACACTGCAGCTGAATGATGCTGCCATTTTTTGATTGAAGGGACTACGTAGCAGCCCAATAGCACGATCTCTATGTAAAAAGAGCTAATGCTAACATATATTTTTTAAATCCTGCCTAGTTTACCTTTAACTGCAGATGTTACAATGTGAAACAGAAGAGCGTCTAATAAGTATGTAGAGCACATTGTGTGACATTTCTTAATTCAAATTTAAAGAGTCGTGCATCAGTAGTCCTATTGTAATAAAAGTATGGCTGGGAGGTTTGAACTAACACATCCACATTAATGATGGTTACTAACCTCCCCACAGGCCCTGCTTTAAATGTATTTATGGAAGATACTCCAGTGTTTCAAGGTCAAATTGAAACATTCAGTGAAATACTGGAGAAACAGATCTAAAGACATACAGGGTGCATTAGTTACGTCAACTGTCAGTCCATCTGTCTCAGCTGTTTCCATTCTGTTCATTGCTCAGCTGCAACATATGTGCGGTTCCCACTATAGGCCGACTTATCATGCATGTACAGTGCTGCACTGTGTGCCCTCAATTAGTGCCTCCGTGCTCAATGCAGCCGTTTCCTTCAAAAAATGTCACAAACCCACCGGAGAGGGAGCAGAAAGGGTAACGCAGACCTTCTGTTTATGAAACACCAATCAGACCGATTTTTATCTGACCGATTTCTGATGGGAGCAAAGAGAAAACACAACTTTAATTTGAAAAATAGCTGGAATGATACACCAGGACAGGCACATGGAAACAATGCAAAATGGATGTCAGCATTTACTCAGGACTGCTGGCTGTCAGGACTCAGAATCAGATCAAATTTGCATTATGTCAAAAAAAAAACAAAAGTGTATGTTTGTGTCCCTGCTACAGCCCCTCAGTGCACCGTCTGCTCGTCTGTGTGTTTGTCCACTTTCTGTCACAGAGTGAACCTGCTGACGATGCTAACATGCTGCGCTGAATGGGAAAGTGGTGAATGTGACGTTTTTGGAAGGCCTGATAAGAAAGCAGCTAGTCAGGTGTTTATCTGAACATGTGCAGGACATCGGGCAGTAAGAAACAGTTTCAAAACACAAATGTTGATTGTTGCGCAAATTTTATTTTGACCTGGGAATTTGGTTGCAGATGGAGAACAAGCTCAATTAAGTGGAATTTTGTGTTGCAAAATAATGATCCATTTCAAGGATTGTTCATGACCTGGAAGAAGAAAATTGCATATCATTAACTGCACATTCATTTCAGATGATTAGCCTTGAATAACTAAAATAACTTGCTGTTAAACTTAAATTCAGTTGATACAACATGTGAGTCTTTATATTGTTTGTGTTTTTGACTGACCGAGGTTATCCATGTGGTGAAGGCGGAGACGCGGGTGAAGACAGTAGGCTTCTGGGGCGCATTGCATCCCATGGCCGACACAAAGCTGGCTACCCCATGTACATACCACCTGTTGTTAACTTTGCAGCTAAGAGGGCCGCCAAAGTCACCCTGAAGGATGAAACACTATGTTAAATGCACACCGACATATAGCCACAAATATAGCATTTTTGACTTATAGCCTTCTGATGCATCAAGCTTTAGGGATTATTGGCTGATATTCAGGGGGTTTGGGGATCTTTATTGCAGCCTCCAGTTGTGCCTTAAACTAACGATAATGTGGATGTGTGTGTACTTTTACAATGGCTCAAAGGGCATCTACAAAACTGAAGAGGAGTTTGCTAGTAATCATTTATTCCACTGTGACAGCTAGACAGTTTTTTCTAAGTTACTGTAAGCTTGTTAAAGGTACACTATGCACGAACTGCTGGTTACTGTTTGTATACAGTTTTGCCACACACTTCTCTTGGGTCATAACCATAGACTGTAAAAATAATGGACGAAGCTATCGTGACGTCACCCGGTTATTTGTGGCTTCCTGTTTCAAAACTCGAGTTCAGCTATTCGGCTGTTGCTAGCTTGGTGCTAGCTTGGTGTTGTCGCGCCAGAAGTGACCATACTTAGGCAAGAGGACGGAGCTGTGGAGGAGCAAAGGGTGGATCTGACTGAGAATGAGGACACTACCAGCAGACGGCCTGTCACTCAAAGCGACCTGCCCTTAATTATGCATAATTTTTAGCCTTAATAAAATGTAAAGAGGTGACTTGTTTAAAAATTCACCCCTTGTACAGTTGTCATGAAGGGGGAAATTAGCTATAGACCAAAACTGTTGTTTGTACCAGGCTGTTTATTTCTGTTGCTGAAGATTCTCAGTCATCCAGGTCATGGTAACCTTTAGTGCTATATCGTAGGCAACTGGAGTTGCTTGAGTTTCTTGAAGATGTTTCACCTTTCATGCATGTTTCGACTCCACTTATCATCCACTCACACCTGGACCCATCTAACACACCCACACAGAGTTTAAAGACTGTGACTCCGTACCAGTCTGTTAGAACTGAAGATGCGTCTTGGATGAGAGGCAAAACGTCTTCTCGAAACTCAAGCGAGTCCAGCTGCCTACAATATAGCACTAACGATGTTTATTTCTGCTGTAAAGTTGGTTGGCAATGTTAAAATACATGGGGGTCTGTGAGGGCTGACTGGCTTCAGGAGCCAGCCTCAAGCAGACATTCGAGGAACTGCAGCTTTTAGCACCTCCCTGCTGGCTTCATTTTTCAGCCTCAGAGTTTGCCACTTGTTTATAAGTGATGATTTAAAGGAATTTCTTTTGTACTTTTCTTTAACAGCGAGAGTCTGGATGAAGAAAATCACATCACTTTACAGTGAAGCAGCCTTTAAAAACAGGAAAAGGCAACACTTAGAATATCGCAATATCCAAAATCTCTGATGATATCATGTCTCATATCACAATATCGGTATAATATCGATATATATTACCCAGTGCTAGTTAGAATCATAAGTGTGCTCAGTTTGATTGAGTTTAAGAAATATATTCTTCACTCTATCATATTTTTCACATCAGCAGACTCACATTGCATCCTGACTGAGCGCCTCCTCCAGCACAGATCATAGTGGTCTTGACGGTGCTGCCCCACCAGCCAAAGCTGGTGCAAGTCTCATGGTAGACAACAGGAAGGTAAGCCTGCCTCATTCTGTTTGACATACTTCCACCAGCTGAAGGTACACAGAAGGGAGACATACACCATGTACGGTGCATCTGAGATGACTGCATGTGTGAGATACTGACAATACAGAGTGTGAAGATTTGCATTTGACTCACTGGAGGTGCGTCCGTATCCAGTGATGTAGCAGGCGTAGTTATGGGGCAGGATCTCACCATAAGGAGGCAGATAGACCAGCCCCACATACGAGTTTAAGACGGCGTCCGAAGACAGCCGCAACAGGGCGATGTCATTACTAAAAGTCAAAGAATGGGACTTGAAAATCTTGTACTGGAGTTGTATCATTTAATTAAAGCTCAACATGGTCCTATTGGAATGAGCATCACCAGAAATATGCTGAACAGATATGTTGCCAGTGACTTTTAAACAATGGTGCCTACAGAAGGCATCACTCAGGCTTAATGTAACTCAAAGGCAGCTAATAAATCCATCTAAATTTCCTTTTTAAGTGTAATGATAAACACTGTAACTCAAAGGCCCAAGTTGTGTGAAACTAATCTGTTAAAGGGACAGTTCACCACAAAATCAAAAATACATATTTTTCCTCTGATGACGGGTTCACACTACATGATGGCGTGAAACAGCAGAGGCATTTATCAACCTGGTGAGTACTGCCATTAGCATCAGGCTGATAGGAATATTATTTTCTCATAGTGGAATATTTAAGGTGATAAAATTAAAAATGAGTGGTGGAAATTTTACTTACCACAACTGCAGAGGGTATTACCTTCATTTGAAACAGACTACATTAGAAACGGAGCTTTATTATGTCGTCAATTCAAACTCAGCACTTCCTGTAGCTTTTTAAAATTAAAAGTCCCTCATAACTTCGGTTGAGAGAATCCCTTCATTTTCTAAAACATTTACTAAGTACAGCCATAGTGACTGAAATAATAGTAATAATAATACAAACAGGACAAGAATAACTTGATGACATTACACACACCGTGACAGACAACCAGGGATGGTTGATCATGAACCAGCGTGTAGTCCGTCATGGCCACGACCATAAAACTTTATGACTCCACTGTCGCCTAATTTCACATAGTGACTGTCTGAACAGACAAAGATATTGTGTAGTGTGAACCTGTGTGTAGTGTGAGTTGCCGAGTGTTGGAGATATCGGCCTTAGAGATGTCTACTATCTTTCGAATATAATGGAGCTAGATGGCACTCGGCTTGTGGTGCTTGTGGTTTGTGGCTTGTGGTGCCTTCACGGCATACATCTTCATGGCTGATATCTCCAACAATCGACAACTCACACCAAAACAATCTAGAGTGACAAATAGCACTACAGGTAAGAGGGAAAATGTTCGCTGGGGTGAACTGTCCCTTTAAAGAAAATAAGTGTTACCCCAAATGTTGACTGTATGCAGTCTATTAGAATTAGACAGATACTACAGTGCAACAACAGACAGACCCACCCAGAGGAGATGCTGTTATTGTTCCAATCAGGATGGATGTAAATATTGTTGACACTCCTGTATTGCTCTGTGTGATGGGTGCTGTGCAGGATGAGGTCACCGAGGACCACACGCAGCGAGCTGGAACTGTTCAAGCTTGGGTTAGTTTTTTTGTTTCCACAATAAAACATCATAAGACAGGTGAGAAACAAAGTCACGAGAGCAAACAGAAAACACGTATTTGTGCAGGTGCCGTGAAACAAAACAAAAAATATGTATGCGTGGGCATGTAACATTTACTTACTTTAGAACAATATAAGGATAATAACATCAACTGTATGTGTTACCTGAACACGCAGTGAGCAGCCGTCAGCACCCATGCTTTACCGATCAGCGTTCCTCCACAGAAATGGTGATAGGAGCCATCAGAGTAGTATTGAAGAGAAACCTGGAGCAGGACAAAATATTACTTCTTCCAGCCTTAAAAACATGGCAGGGATGTACTCAAAATTATTCTCTTTATTATTACAGTAACTTTACACTAGTCCTGCTCACAGGATATAGACTGTGGATATAAAGCCTGTCACTGTCCGCCAGTCTCAGACAGTTACACGCTTCCTGCCTGTTACTGTTTTAAAAATCCCAGTCATTACATCAACTTCCAAGCGAGCAACCTACACTCTTAAATGTCTTTTAAGTTTTATGTGTTTTTTTTCTTTGCAGGGATTTCGCAATTTTAATGCCAGAGCTCACCTCGCACCGAAAGTTCCGTGCCGATACTATATTTCAAGGACGCCATGGCTGCGTCCTGGGCTTAGGGCCTCCCAAGACAATTTTGATTAGCTTAAAGAAATACAAACAACCCACAGTATTTTTTTCCCTTAGTGCGGAGTTAAGATTAATTCAGCCAGACCTTTCTCCAACGCTGGCACAGCATGTGATAGGTCTGGCTATGCAAGAGTACATTACCATGGCTTCACACTTGTATTAGAGTAAAGTGGCTGATATATGAGCGCAGATTTGAAAAATATAAGCATTTTGTAACATGCAGTTACAAAGGCATAACCACTTTATTGTTAATAGTAGTTGAGAAATATCTTAGAAACACCTTATCGCATTTTTAAGATTTTTTTTCTTAAAGCAGTAATTTGATATTTTGGGACATATGCTTTTTTCTTGCTTGCCGAGAGATAGATGGTATGGTTTATATCTACGCTGAATATGAGGCTACAGCTAGCAGCCAGTTAGCTTAGCTTAGCATGTCTCCAAGACTGGAGACAGCCAACATAGGTCTGTATAATTATTTTATAGGGTTACAAGAAAATATCGGCTCATCATCAATAACGGCCGATATTGGCTTTAAAATGAAATATATGAATCGGCCAACGTGGTTTTTCTTATTTTGAACAATGAATGAATATCACATACATCGAAAAGTATTGTATTTAATGTCTCCATCTGCTGGTGGGCCATCACGATAAAAGTATGCATGCATAATATGATGTTAACTCCACCTCAGAAGAGACTTGATGATCACTAAAATTAGTTAGGGCAAAAAGTGGGTATATCAATATTGTTATTGCTTAGTAGTCAAATGAGTTGTTACATATCGGCATATCGGATATCAGCAAAAAATCCAATATCATGCATCCCTAAAATATGTTTGGAGGGCAACATAATGCAGAGAAAATTAAATTTTTTATTAACATAAAGAGGAAATATTACCAATCAACATAATGTTACCAATCAACATATTCCACCCAAATCAGGCAACACAGTATCCACTGATGGTGACATGCAGCAAAGAGCCACAGGTTGGAACTGAGCCCAGGCTGCTGCACAGGACTCAGCCTATATGAAGTGCACACTCTACCAGGTGAGCTAGAGGTCGCCCAAGGCTTACTCATTATAAACATGATAAATACCACCTTGTTCAGTCCGTTAGAGGAACATTTCACCCCCCAAATGACCACTTGTTATCAATAACTCACTCTGTGTTATCTTGCATGCCCCAAACAAACAGTCTGTTTGTTTGTATTACTGTGTGACTTTGATGTTTTTAATGGTTAGTTCGGATTAATCAAAATCACACAATAACACCGACAAACCACAAATTGATGCAGCTGTAGACCAGCAGCTCCAGTGATCAATGTGGTAAAATTACAGTTTTGTCAGTGGAGTCCGGCTTTGTAGAGAGCACAGATAAGTTTCACTCTTATTTTGGTGCTGGACAGGGCTGTCTGTTTGGGAAATAATGAGCCCATGACTGGATAAATGAGATTTTGATTGTGCTGCACAAGTTATGTAAGAGTTTGTAAATGGATGTTTTGATATAATTTTTCTGTTGTTAAATGCTGTCGCCTATGACTTCAAATCATCAAGAATATTCTCCGTTTGTGGATCCGTTGTTCAGTGGAGGCATGTGAGAAGTTTCTTCATGAATACGATGTCACACAAGGTGAGAAGTTGGTGTACAAATGGTCATTTGGGGGTTGGAATTTTCCTTTAAGCATGAAAACAGTAAGATGTGGGATCTTGTCACCTTCGGACAGCGCTAGGCAAGCTGTTTCCCATCTGTCTTTGGTGTATATGCTAAGCTAAACTAACCAGCTGTCGGCTGTAGCAAATCTGAGAGTTGGTGTCAATCTTGTCCTCTAACTTCTCAGGAAGTAAGTGAATACGTACAAATCCCAAAATAGCAAACTTTTCCTTTTACAAACTATTTTTTAGTCTCATTCCTCTGGAGATAATACAAGGACTCTGTTGTCAGAATTAGTTCAAGAGTTGACCTGTAACCTTTGAAAAACAGATCTGCTTCATGCAGTGTTGCCCATTTTCCAAACCCCACAAGTATTTTGGATCCACGCTCTACCTGTACTCAGGACCTTGTACTTACACAACCTTTTTTTTACATGTTCTATCTGGCTACTGTGAAACTGTACCTGCCAAGGCCAGGAGTAGTGATGAGCCACCTGATCACCTCCCACAACTCTCCCTGCAGGGCCGCTCTCCTCGTAGTCAGACCGAGGCTCCAACTCAGCCAGCACTGAGGCACGGAGGAAACCCATCAACACACCATTTAAACACGATTACACCTTGTGTTAATTTATCTAAATTCTTAGTTTTAACTATTTGTCAGCGGTGGATTATTAACAGTACAGCTTTGATATTTCTTACCTGTGGCTGTGAGAGTGGTGAACAGCAGAAACACGAGCATGTCCGCGGCGTCTCTTTATTTCTAAATGCATGTCTCACTCTTTTATAGCCTGAGCCGACCTTAACTTGATGTGCACCCTCTGCTGGGTGTTGCAGTGGTCAAAGAGGCACCTGTGGTCCGTCTCAGGCTTTATCGCATTTTGAGATAGTGTGTGACGGCATGTTGCCACATCACACTGGATTTACGGAAACATTAAGAGTGTTTTTTAAGAACCTCCTGTGCAGAACATTTATTTCACAGTCTGTGACCACACTTTAATTTAAGTAGTTGGATGCTACGTAAAATAAATCCAGGAATTTGTATTTTTAGGTGTCTTTTGCACATATTTTGTTGCATAGTTTGAAGTCAAAAGAATAATGACACACGTAACAGTGGTTACATAAACTTTCTGATGAGAAATGAGTCATCACTTGAAGTTTAATGAAGTTTATTTTTTGTAGAATGAAACCAGACAAACAAGGAAGCACAACAGATGAAAACGTGGTTCAATGTGGTCTCTTTCTTTGTGTGCTGCAACATGGATTCGGTTTACACCATGATCTGGAAAAGAGAAGAAGAAAGTAATGATTACACAACATATGCAACTTAATCCCGATTAAACCCGCACCTGTCCTAGCATTCCTTTACGTATGATAGATGTATGTATCCCTAATACTTACGGAGTCCATCCATTCGATGTAGGCGGAGACACGGGTGAAGACGGTGGGCTTCTTGGGGGCGTTGCATCCCATACCAGACACAAAGCTGGCAATGCCATGGACGTAGTATTTTCCGTTGACAAGGCAGTTCAGAGGGCCGCCAGAGTCACCCTGAGAGGAACGAGATTAAAGAGAACACATTGATCAGGATTCAGTGGTGGATACTCAATATAAATAACACCATATTACAGTTACTGTATTGTAGGGTTAAAGGGACAGTTCACCCTAAAATCTAAACTACATATTTTTTCCTCTTACCTGTAGTGTTATTTATCAGTCTAGATTGTTTTGGTGTGAGTTGCCGAGTGTTGGAGATATTGGCCGTAGAGATGTCTGCCTTCTCTCTAATATAATGGAGCTATATGGCACTTGACTTGTGGTGCTCAAAGCGCCAAAAAAATACCTTAATAAAATTCATCAGCAATGTCTCTTTCCAGAAATCATGACCCAGCTAATCAAGATAATCCACAGACCTTGTTGTGAGCAGTTTCGTGCAGGAACTATTTTCTTCCTACTGAACTACACCTGCCAATCGTATCGCTGTGCAGAAGGATGAGTGCATCTACTCATGAACAAGAGGCTCATGACCGCACAACATGTAAATATGAAAGGCGTCCTCCTTGGCTAAGCTGTAACGTTAGCTAGATGCTAGGTGAGCTAGCAGTAGATGCATGCTTCCTTCTGCGTGGTGATATGGTTGGTGGGTGTAGTTTGATAGAAAGAAAATAGTTCCCACATGAAACTGCTCACAACACTAGAGGCAGCACAACAGGTAAAAGGAAAGCAGGTATTTTTGATTTGGGGTGAACTGTCCCTTTAAAATTGCGCAGGACTTTTTTCTCTTCTTTGTGGTTTTTAGTGTTCTTCCACCAACTGAATCACTTCACTACTTTACTGACATACAAATTAAACACAGTCTAAGTCAAAGCCAAAAAACTCCTCTATAATAAGACTTTGCAGTAATATAGTTTTAGTTACTCCAACATTTCTTTTTCGTGTAGGAGGAGACTCACGTTGCATCCAGCCTCGGCACCACCACCACCACACACCATGGTGGTCTTGACAGTGCTGCCCCACCAGCCAGGACTAGTGCAGGTCTTGTGGTCGACCAGAGGAAGATAGGCCTGCTTCAGCTGGGCGGACAGGCTGCCACCGGCTGAACAAAGTAAAATTTGAAAGGTTTACAAAAACTAAAAGTGATCAGCCCTGACAGTAACCTTGCAGTCTACTCACTGGAGGTGCGTCCCCATCCGGTGATGTAGCAGAGGTTGTTGTGGGGCAGAATCTGGCCACTTGGAGGCAGAGAGCCCAGCTGGACGTAGGAGTTCAGGGTGGCGTCAGAAGACAAACGCAGCAGGGCGATGTCATACCTGAGGTGGAGATGCATGGATTAAACAGGAGGCACCAAAAATAGCTTTGCAAAGATACTACACTCCCAAGGAGGACATTTTGTTCGTGGGTTAGACCGCCTCCACCCTTAGGTGACATTCTTACCTTCATACCAGAACATACTTTGCCCAGAGATGTTTGGGAAATTAGAGAAATGGATTCCCCTCGAAACATTCTAACTTATTTAAAGGGCTGTACAGAATAGTTTCACTAATGCTTCACTAATGTTAACACAAAGTCTAAATCAACATGCTGTGCAGCTTTTGTTTTCTATTATTAAGCTCCGACCAGCAGCTCTATGGTTCGCATGGTTGTTAGGCTGCTTGCTCTGTTGGTCAGTCAGTCAAGCCGACGCCAACAGAAATCTCTCCACCCTTCTGGCAACCATAGGTTTTGGCTTGGGAGGTTCAAATGTGGCATTTTCAGTGGTTGTTGCGCCTGCGTAGGATTGTTTCCACCTCGTTTGATCCAGTTATTTCCAATAACTCCAGAGCACTGTAAAGTCCAGAAGTCAAAATTTATAGAAAAAAGATAGATGTAATCAGTAATGTTTTTATCTAAGAAAATACTCTGCTTCAAGTCAGATTAATTATTATTTCATTATTGACTAAAGTCCAGACAGGCCTCTTGGCTGACTGATAGGGGTGGACCTGGGGAAACAACCCAGATTCCCAGAAGACATTGTGGAGACCACCCTTAGACTGGACATTGTGCTGGTACCAGTAGCATTAAAACAAGTGGTCATGCTGGAGCTGACGGTGCCCTGGGAGGAGCGCATGGAAGAGGCAAGTGAGCGTAAGAGACAAGTAAAAGACAAGCCATTAGCAGAGCTTCAGGGGCTGCAGAAAAAGCTTCACAATGGCTGTGGATCAGGAGGGACATGTCGTGGTCTAATGGTGCTGGACACAGGCTGGGAACTGATAAGTCCCGGTCGGGTCGCCAGGGTGAGAGGGTCTGAAGTTGAGACCCGAAACTCCCATTGACCCCTGGTACTGTCGCTGATGATGTGTCCAAACGCATCACTAGATGTATGTATCTACCGTGTTATTATTTGTTGGCAGCTTAGCAGCAATGTAACACCATAAATTACATTTATACATAAAAGGAAGTTGATTTAAAAAAATAGACTAATTCATTTAATGGGATTAATTAATTCAAAGTGAGGATTTTGTTTGTGTATTTTTTTTAAGGTGATGACATCATAAAATCTGACAACATACACTCAAAGCATCATTTGAAAACCTCACTAGAGTCTTCAAGTGTAAAAAACAAAAGCAAAAGACATTCGTTACAACACTGCTTACTTATGTAAAATTGCTTTTAAACAGATAAACTCAACAGAAACATGCAAATTAAAGACACTTAAAATCGTACGAATGTAAGAAAAATGAAATCCTCACCCAGCAGACACTCTGCCGGAGTCCCATCTGGGATGGATGTAAACCTGGCTGACACTCTTGATCTGCTCTCTGCCACTGTCGCTGTAGAGGTCATGTTCACCGATAACGACACGCCACGTCCTACTGCTGCAATATTAAAGAAAAAAAACCCAAAAACAATCAATGATTAGTTTTGACTCTAATGACTAACTTCTGACCAGCATAGCCTAATGATTTCCTATTACAGTAAACTGATGTAAAATGTAAAGGTCACAATATGCCCGGTTTTTATTATTATGATTATTATTCCTTTGTTTGGAGACATTTCTTTCCCTCTAATAAAATAAATGAATCCTCTTGGTATGTGACAGTTATAAATGAGGCCGCGAGAACTTTCCTTGCGCTGGTGACATTTAGAAACACTGAAATAAATCATACCTCGGTGCTGCGATAAGAGCGCGCCGTGGATATTAAAGTCAAAGTAATCACAAACTGCACCTAAAACTCATACAGCCAAAGAATCCCGAGGCCGTGCTCGAGTTAATCATTACGTTACCTGTCCACGCAGTGAGCAGCAGTCATGACCCATCCTCTCTCGATCAGGGTGCCTCCACATGTGTGGTAGAACCTGCTGCCAGATTTGTACTGGAGAGAGATCTAAGGGGGAGAAAGCAGACCAGAGTTATGTATGTGTGAAAATATTAAAGGGATAGTTGGGATTTCTTGAAGTGGGGTTGTGTGAGATGCTTAACTATAGTCAGTGTATTACACACAGTAGATGTAAGTCAGCATGTCCCCAGTTTGGAGAAGCAGGCTGGAGTCTGACATGGAAGCTAAGCATTGTACTGTTGTGGATAGGCTCAAAAACAAATTGTATTTTAGCCACATAAAAAAGTCCCACCGGAAAAAACAAATATCAGTTTAAGTATATGCTATATTTAGAGTATTTTCACTGATTTACCTCTTACTTAATGCCTATTATTCAGTCCCGTGTATGCTCTCATCAGAGCCACCAGACTCCATTGAGAAAAACAGCATTTTAACATTGCTGAACACAGGAGCTGCTGGTCTACTGCTGCCTTGATCAGTTAGTTAGTTGATGTTATCGTGTGACTTTGTTCAACCCAAACTAATCCTTTAAAGCACCAAAGTCACATAATATCACAAACAAATGAACTGATCGAGGCAGCAGTAGACCAGCAGCTCCTGTGTTCAGCAGTGTTAAATCGATGCTTTTCTCAATGGAGTCTGGCATTGAAGAGAGCCATATAACAGCTTCATTTTTCAGTGGAAATCACTGTCTGACATTCAGGTGAAGAAGTGAAAATACTCTCAATATAGCGTACACTTAAACTGATTATGATTTTTTAAGTTGGGACTTTTTTTAGGTGGCTAAAAGCCTCTGTGTACTTCAGCCTGCTTCTCCAAACTGAGGGCGTGCTGACCACTTTCCACTGTGCGTAATACACCAGCTATGGATCAGTACTCCATACAACCCCACTTCAAAAATTCTGACCTATCCCTTTAAGAGGTGTAATTGAAAAAGGGCTCTGTATTGCCCTGAAACATGATTTCAT